GGGAGGGGGGGGAGATGCAGGAGCCGGGAGAAGGGGGGATGCAGGAGCCGGGAGAAGGGGGGATGCAGGAGCCGGGAGAAGGGGGGATGCAGGAGCCGGGGCTCCCCCGCCGCGCTCACCCGAAGAGCCCCCTGAGGAAGGAGTGCGAGCCCTTCACCCGCTTCTCGGCCTCGGCCATGAGCTGCACGGCCTCCCGCTCCTTCCCCGCGCTGTCCATCGCTCCCGATGCTCTTCCTCCTCCTCCTCCTCCTCCTCCGCGGCACCCGGAGCGCGGCGGGCGCGTGCGCGGGGCGGGGCGCGCGCAGGATGCGGGATCCGGGATGCGGGATGGATCCCGGATGGATCCGGATGGATGCCCGGCTGCGCCCCGCACACGTGGGAGAGACCGGCTCGTCCCGGGGGGGGGGGGTGAAAGCTGGGACCCCTTTAGTCGTTCCCAAAGGTGGATTCCTTCGGGAGCTTCCAGTGCTGAATTCCCAGGGAAGGGGAGCGGGATCCAGCGCTGTTGGATCTGGGTCAGCTCGATCCTGGCGGTGTTTTCCTGCAGCTCCGATGCTGCTTTTATTTGTGCCACTCTCCAGGTTTCCAGGGAATTAGCTCTCCCGTAAGGCAGGACAGCCGAAGCTCAGGCTCCACGGAGGAGGGCTCCCCTTTCCTGGGAATATCCCGCCCCAAGGAAAAAGGCAAGAGAAGGGGCAGAAAACGGGCCTCGCTCGCACCTCTGTTCCTGCCCCCGTTGCCTGAGCACAGGGGGCTGATCAGCAACTTCCCTGCACGCGGGAAACCGGGACATTCCTGCCCGATCCTCCCCTGGGATGATGGAATTCCATACCCCTGAGCAGCCACTCGGGACTACAACTCCCGGCGTGCCCCGCGCCCGCGCGCCGCGATGACGTCACCACGCGCTGTCGCCGTCTCCATGGCGACGCTGTCGCGTCCCGGTGGCCGCTCCCACGGGAACGTCCCGGCCCGGGAACACCGGGAATGGCCCTGGGGATGGAAGACCCTGCGATCCCCCCGTCCCCGCTGCCCCGGGAACACCCTGCGATCCCCCGGGAAAGGGAATCTCGGCGGCAGTGTCCCAGGAAATGCAGGTGACTCTTTTAGGGTTGGGAGAAACTAAACCAGGAGCCTTTCCCAAGCCGGGAGCTCCCATCCACATCCAAGCTTGCTGGCAAAACCGGTAGCTATTCCACACCGGATCCCAAATAATCCCAGGTTTTGTTTCCCTTTTCCAGGCGGGACAACATGGAGCCTTTTCCTCTCTCCGAGCTCGGGCTCCCAGCAGAAAACAAAGCTATCCAGGGAATCCTCTGCCCCATGGCTGTGGAGCTCTGCCACCTCCTCCTGGCCCTGGAACGGGAAGATGGGATTTGTGAGGCCTTTCCCAACTTAGGGGAGAAGGCGGAAAAACTGGCCAAAGCCCTGGAAGAACTCGCTGCTGTGGCAGGAAGGTGAGCTGGATGGGAGGCTCAGGGGGATGGGAGTCTCCCGGGTGGATTTGGGGGCTGGGAAGAGATGGAAAAGCTGGTAAGGAGCCTGCATCCTCGGGGAGAGGTAGGATCAGGAATGGGGAATAGAAGTGGGAAGGAAAAGCAGGGATATGTGCTTGGAAGGGACACGGCAAAGCAACACCTCAGCAAACCAAACCCACAGATCCTGGCAGACAACACCCACCTTCCAGAGGCAGATTCTACAGATTCCAGCCAGCCCTGGTGTGGGGAATGGTTGAGATAACACTTCCCATCCATGCTGCTTCCCAGCCCACCGGAGCGCTGAGCCCAACCCTCCCATTCCAGGCTGGCCCGGGAGTCCAGCGAGGAGGGAACCACGGAGGAGACGTGTCCCATGGCCAAATCCCTGGAGCAGGCCGGGAGGGATGTGCTCCTGGCAGCGCTCCGGCTCCAGGAGCACCCGGAGAGCCCTCAGCTCCGGGAGCACCTGGCAGCGGCCGCCAGGAGAGTCCTCACGGAGACAGCGAAGGTGAGCGGGAAGGTGGGAAGGGATGCGAGCTGGGGAAGCTCCAGCAGATCTGTGGAGCAAACCGCACCTTCTCCCCCCTTCAGGATGAAACAGGGATGGGAATTCCTCACTGGATTTTGTGCCTCGTTCCCTGGTTAGGTCCTTCAGCTGGAAGAGGCCGCAGGGATGAGGCGGATCACCCGGGCAGCCGGCCGGCTCCTGGAGTGCCTGCGTGTGCTGCGGGATGCCCGGGACACGCCGGGGCTCCTGGCAGCATTCCAGGCCTTCTCCGAGGCCGTGCTCCTGCTGAGCCGCCTGACAGCCAAGCGCCTCCAGGAACTCGGGGATGGTCCCGCACGGAAGAGCTTGGCCCACACCCTGCAGCTCCTGCACCGGTGTGTCCCCCTGCTCCACGGAGCCGTCAGACATTCCAGGGATCCCCGAGCCGACCTCTCTGCAGACGACGCTTTCCAGCTGACAGAGGGGACCATCGGGGACCTCCTCTTCCTGCTCATGGAGCCCCGGGACAGGAGCGGGATCTTCTCCCAGCAGGTGAACATGCTGCTGGATCTCCTCTCCCACCCGGACAGGCTGCGCCTCTCCGAGGGCGGGCTCAGCTCCCACCTGGAAGCGGTGGTTCTCCATGGAATGCTGCTGGCAGACTCATCCAGGCTGGATCTGCAGCTGGAGCTGGTGGAACGCTGCTGGGTCCTGCTAAGGCTGAGGAAGAGCATCTGCGGCCGCATGAGGCGGTTGGAAGGATGTCCAGGACAGGGCCAGGGAGAGCATGGATTTGAGCAGGAATGTCACAGCATGAGGGAGGAGCTGGAAAACCTGGACCAGACTGTGCTCAGGGCCACTCTGTGCCAAATCCTCGAGGGATTCTTTGAGGAGAAGGAGCCCCTGAGGCAGCTGGTTGAAGGTGCCCTTGCTCTTGCTGGTTCAGGGTGTTTTCCAGCAGGACCAGGAGGAATTCTAAGGAAGCTCCAGCCCCTCACCGCCGCCGTCTTTGCTCAGGCCCAGCAGATGCTCCGAGCGGCCGAGCTGGTTCTGGCCCGGTGCACCAAATCCCAAACTGCCAGGGAAATCTGGGAGTGGGTGGAGCACCTGCGGAGCCTCCTGGGCAGCCTCCCTTCCCTGCTCCTGGAAAGGAGTGGGAACACCAGAGCAGAGCAGCTCCAGGCCCTGTGCCACGCCTGGGCTGGAGCCACCGGCAGCCTCCTGCGCTGCTTCGAGGAGACGGTCGGCACACGGGAATTCCTAGAGCTGTCTGTCCTGGAGATGGCCAAGCACAGGGAATGGTGTGAGGCGGCGCTGGGATGTTGGGATCCCGAGGGATTCTCCTGGCACGCCGCTCGCCTCACCGGCTGGGCACGCTGGGTGGTTGGAGCCACTACCCGGCACGTGGACAGGGCCACAGATCCCATCTTCAGGAATGGCCTGCTGGTGTGGGTGGAGCAACTGGCCAATTCCATCCTGGAGCTGAGGGCAGTGCCAGCCCAGTGCCTCCAATCCCGGGATACCTTTTCCCAGGCAGCCAGCTGCCTGATGGACACTGTTCTCCGTGTCCAAGCCGGGCTGGATGGGTCCAACCACCCGGATATCCTCAGCCCGCTCCGGGAGCGAGTGCGGAGCACCAGGGTGGCAAAGGGGCCAGAGCTCAGCCCATCCCACGCTGGGATACAAACCAGTATGGATGAGGCCACATTCCATGGAGACATCCCAAGTCCTCCATCTTCGCCAGCAGGCACCTTCCACCTGGATGTTCCGTGGGAAGGGGGTGCACACCCTGCCATCACGGCTCTCCTGGCAGCATCCCGAGCCTGGGACACAGCTGCCGTCAGTGCCGCTGGCTCTGCCTTGCTGGAGCTCTGCGAGGGCTGTGTGGATGCAGCACGGGAAGCACTGCCTGTGGCCGACCCCCCCCAGCTCCTGGTGCTGGGACAGCACCGGGACATCACGGCACTGACCCCCAGGATTATCAGCCTGGCCATGGAAACGGCCCGCAGCCAGCTCCGTGCTCCAGGCAGGCTGATCCACATGGCACTCAGGCTCTTGGGAAAGATCCGGGACACCCAGCAATGCCTGGCAGCCGTGGCAGGCTCTTGGAATAGTCTGTCCCAGCAAGTGCTTGGGTTTATCTCGTCAGGTGACTTTCCAAGAGGGAAGCAGGCTTTGGATGAGGCCATGCTGGCTTTAGCAGGAGCAGTGCAGTTGGCAGAAGACATTGCAAGCACAGCCTGTAGTAAGGAAAATCCCATTCCCTCCCAAGCTTGGGATGGCTTTCTGCAGGTCCAAGCCAAGTTTTCCCGTGCTCAGCTGAACACCCAAGTGTTCCTGGGGAAGGCAGAATCCTTCAGGGGCTCCTGTGGGATGGAAAAGGCCATCCTGGAGCTGCACGGTGTCCGGTGGGCCGTGGGCATGTGTGTCCTGCTGCACGCCATGGATCGCTTCGTGGGAAGGGATGTGCTGTTCCTGAGGGAGCTGAGCAGGGCTGTGAGGAACAAGGTTGGCTCACAGACCCTCCTGGCTGCTGTGGCCGAGAATTCCCTGAGGCTGCAGGAGGCCGCCCGGCTCTCTTACCTGTCCTGTCCCAGAGACCGTGGTGCCAGGGAAATCCTGGCGCTCCGGGGGGAGATCCAGGTGCTCATGGAAGCACTGCTGGAGGTCTCCAACACCCTCCTGGTCTCCCCACTGCCTTCAGCCAGCCTGTCCATCCGCTTCGAGCTCCTGCAGAGGGACGTGGCCCTCAGGGCCAGGGCGTTACTGCTCCGCCTGGAGAGGGCCAACACGGAGCAGCTGCACGTCATCCAGGACGTGGTTGGAGCAGCCCTGCCCGGCCTCTCCCACGAGGAGAGGGACAGGAGCAAGGAGGCCTTTGAGGAGAAGGCGAGTCGGCTCATGGCTGACGTCCAGTGGGTCAGGAACACCCTCTGGGACGCTCTGGAGGCTGGAGCTCAACTGCCACCGTGGGACAACCCGCTCTCCACAGCGGAGCACCTCCTGCTCCTCACGGCCCACGCCGTGGGCAGTGTCCGACGGAGCCTCCGGAGCCACTGGGACATGGGGGATGCCCACCTGGACACCTGGGATCCCCAGGACACAGGGGATGCCCACCTGGACAGTGTGGTGTTGCACTGGTCAGCCCAGGCCCGCTACCTCCTCACACAGCTCCAGGCCACCCGTGGCATCGGCACAGACGTCCTGCGGCGCATCACGGAACGCCTGCAGCGGGACCGGGCATCCCCAGGACAATCCCAGCTCTGCCCAGCCCCACAGCCCACTGAGGCAGCGGGAAGTCGCCCGCTCGGGAGCAGAGCAGGGAGTGGAGCTCCACAGGAAGCAGGTGAAATGGTACAGTAGCTCTTTTTCCCTATCAGCTCTTCCTGCAGGGTGATGGTCTGTCACTCCTGGTGCTCCCAGCATGGAGTGGGAATGTGAGGGATGCTGGCAGGGCCTCTGTAGGCCAGCACTCTGACCCTGGGCAGCTCAGGTTGCTGGCAGCCCTGGAGTCCCGATATCCGATCGGCATCAGCAAACCCATCCCAAACTCTGCCATTCCAGAGGGGCAGGGGCTGTACCACTCTCCCTCACCTTCCCACAAGCTCCCTCTGGGAATATCAGCAACTCCACTCCCACAGCAAACACTGCTGGGCGTTGGGAGCTGGGAAAGGCTTTGGCACATGACCCAGGTCCCTCAGGAGAACTGTTTCAACTGTGCTCTGAACTGTGCACTGTCAGTGACAGCTGCTCCCATTTGGAGCTGGCTCCAGGGGCTTTGGATCTGGGAAGAAGGGCTGGTGGGGAGTTGGAACAGACGCAGCAGGGCCCCCGCCTCTCCCACCAACTTTACTCACCAAAATCTGTTTCAGAAGCAGGCGGGTGGAGGAGGCCGCTCGGCACCGCTGTGTCTGCACGCTCCGGACCTGGAATCTCTTCCATTATTGTCTGGACAGCAGCAGGATGGCCCTTCCAGCACCTCCCCTGCAAAGCATAAGAGAGGAAACTGTGACACACAGCAGGGCAGCCCCAGCAAGGTGTCCCAGGTCATCCAGGACATGGCAATGAGGATGCTCCACATGGCTCAGTTCCTGAGGAAGAAGGGCCCCATCGCGGTACGCAGCATTCCACCCCTCCACCTCTCCCTAAGGATCACAAAGCCCATCCCAAATCCCTGTGTCACCCCATTCTCAGGAGAGAGGCACCAGCTCTATTTATGCAAAATACTCAAAATTCCTTCCTCTTGGTTAGATGTGAGCTTGGCATCCCATCCTTTCCTCGTTCCAGGATGCATCCGGGCCTCACATATCCTTCCCTGTCCTGCGGGAAAAGCTTTTTCCTCCTTCCCTCCCCAGTCCCATTGATTTTTATCCCGTTTTAGAGCAAGGAGCAGTTTGTTGCCTGTGCCAGGCAAATCGCTTCTGACGGGCAGGTGGTTGTCAGATTTGGGCACATCCTTGCCAAGCAGTGCCCGGACCAGAGATGCTCCACGGAGCTGCTCCGCGCCTCCGAGCACACCCACACCCTCAGCAGCCAGCTCGGCATCGTGGCCAGGTGAGCTGCCAGGCCCAGGGATCACCTCTCCCAAGGTCATCCCAAGACCCTGGAGAAGGAATGTGCGTGGTGGCCCCCGGAGGTCCTTGTGGGCGGTGGGAGTTCGGACACCATTCGGAGGGTTCCCTCTCCTGCCTGGGTTTCCCTGCTCGGATGGCACAGGGGCGAGCCGGGTTTGGAGCAATGACACTGTGGGATGCCCGATTCCCTTCCAGTAAAACCCTCTGGAATGTCTTTTCAGGGTGAAAGCAGTGACTGGGGAGAGCAAGGCCTCCTCGGAGCTGCTCCTGAGCAACGCGCAGAACCTGGTGCGAGCGGTGCGGCACCTCCTGGGCGCGGCCGAGGCGGCCTCTGTCAAAGTGAGTGAGCCTTGGGATCAGCCACGGGATCAGGGAATGCCTGGGGGCAGGGGGAAGGGTTGCTCCAAGCCCCGGGTGCTGTGGGACTCCAGCTGGAGCAAACATTCCTCCTGGGATGTTTTTATCCCGTGCCTTTCTGTCTCGTTTCCAAAGCCCACCTTACACCTTCCCAGGTATTGTTCCTGGAGTCACCTTTAGCTGGAAATAGTCCCTGCCAATCCCCTTTATTCCCAAAAGCCAAGCTCCCACGAGCTTTCCATGCAGCTGCCATCAACAGCCAACTGATCCAACTGGAAACAGTCTGTGGGAGCAGATTTTACCTGAAAACACTTGGAAAACAAGTGCAACCACCACCAGCCTCTCCTGAGGCAGCATTTCCAGATGAGTCCCATCCTCCTCTACAATCCTACAACATTTTCTGGGATCAGCCTGTCTTTTTGAAGGAGACAGTTTTTTAAAATCCCATTCCCTGTATAATCAGCCCCAAGCGTGACAAAGCTCCTCCTGTGTTAATTAATTGCCCAAACTTAAAACTTCCTATATTTGTCCATTTTTCACTTCGCTGATTCCAGCCTGGATTAATCAATTAATTAATCCTGACTGTCTAGATTCCAAAGTCCTTTTTGACCTGGAAATCTCCCTTTGGAAATTTCCCTGCTTCTCAAGAAACTGCACTCCTTTTCTCTCCCTGTAAGCACCTTTTTGAGCATTTCTAAGCATTGTGAGCATTAAGAGGTAGAAATCCCACATGGATCAGCTCACATCCAGGCTTTCCTGTCATTTAGGATGTACAGGGATATTTAAAGCAATTATTTTGTTCAACAGGGTTTGGGACAACCCTCACCTGACCCTGAAGCGGAAGAAGTTGCTGCTTTTTGCCTGCAGTGGAAGAAAAACCTGTCGTGGCACAGAGCCAAGGAGGCTTTAAATTCCAGCAGGGATGAGTTAGGGCTCCGCAAGACTCGGGAAGCAAAGGCGGAGCCCACCCTGATGGCTGGGGTGCAAGAACCACCCCCTCAGACCAGGAATATCCCAAAGCATCCCAGTCCCAGGAAAGGACACACAGCTATGGACAGACACCTGTAAAACCAGGGAGGGGCTTCTCATCCTGATGGCGTTGGAATATTTGCAAGATGAAGGATTCGTGTTGGAGCGTTTCCACTGTGGCAGGAAAATCTTGGAAGAGGCTCCGTGGGGAGGCCAGGAATGTTCTGGTGAGTGTTTTACCCACAGGGCAGCAAACACCAGGTGGTGACACAGGCTGGACAGGGCTTGGAGCAACCTGCTCCAGTGGGAGGTGTCCCTGCCCATGGCAGGGGTGGGATGGGATGAGTTTAAGGTCCCTTCCCACCCAAACCATTCCAGGATTTTATGATCCAGAGTTGCTCAGTCTTTCTGCACTGCAGAGAGCAGACAAGGTCACACATCACATATCCAGGGATACAGCAGCAGGTATGTTTCTATTGTGTCCCTAATCCCGCAGATTTCCTCCCAAAATCCCCCTCAACCCCAGGATTTTCTCCTACCAAGTAAAATGCTCAATTCCAACCATCACCCACCTCAGAGCTTCCAGAGGATCCCAGACTGGTGACACTGGCTGCTCCTGCATCTCTGGCTCTCCACATCCATCCTTCACAGCCTCAGGGGACGGAGCTGCAGGTGTCCCATGGAAACGCTGATCCATGCCGGAATACCGCGCGTGCAGGAGGGCTGGAAACAAGCCTTCCCTGTGGAATTCACAATCCAACACCACAGCAGATCACAACTGGCTGGATGCACAGCCCATTCCAACCCCACCTCGGTGTCCCCACCTGCCTCTCTATCACGTTCCCCGTAGCAGGAATTCTGTTACCTGTGCGGTCGCAAGGAATCTCCTCTGTGTTCCAAGGGAGAGCAGCAGGCACACCGGAGATTCTGGGAAGCAATCTGCAACGGATAAAGCAGGGAGCAGGGGTGGATGGAGGAGCAGAGCAGCCCCAGAGGTGCTGGGAGAGTCCATGGGGACCTGTGGGGTTGGGGGAGAGGAAGGAAGGGAGGAAGGCAGGAAGGAAGGAGTGAGTTACAGAGTTACCCAGGCTGTGAGGACTCGCTGGCCTTTGTATCCACGTCCCATTTCCACACCATTTTTCCCTGCTGGCTTGGTTTTTTTGAGGAAAACCTTGACCAGCCACACTTGTCACTACATGAAGATGTAATTACGCAGAACTAACGGATCACTCCAAAATAACAACCCAGTTTACCTATCCAGAAGACCATAAAATTAATGGAATTTACGCTCTGGGAAATCAGGGAGGCAAATCGAAACCACAATTGCCTTTGGAGATGTCTCCTCTGCCATGAAGGAATTACCAGCTTCCCTTGGTTCATCCCTGCAAGAAACCAAAACCTCAGAGTTTGGGATAAACTGGACTGTCCCAGTGGAAGCATCGCTTGGGCCAACAAAGAAAGAAGAGGAAAAGGTGCACCAAGGAAGAGACTGAATTCAAAGAAACATTCCAAAGGGGCAGGAAGCAGGTGGTGATGGAGCAGCCGGCAAGTTTTTATTGGAAAGGCAGCTGGGCTAGGAATGACTACATTTCCTCTGGAGGAAAAGCAACCCAAAAGGCAGGACAGGAGGCTTGGAGGACATTTGTGTTCCCCCGTGGAAATTAAAGACATGCAGGACGTTTTGCAGTGGAAAGTGGCAACTCCCTCCAAGAGGGGCCTTGGAACCAGGTACCTGGTTAAGTTAAGAACCCACCAACCATCCCACTGCGCTATCCCACGGCGTCATCCCCCTCATCCCAGCGTCCCCACGGAGTCACCACCAGGGATTAACGGTACCCTTTTTAATTGTTTTGTTAAAAATGTCGCCGAGACACCATGAATACAAGTACTGCGGTTACAGCCATACAAAAAAAGCAATACAAATTAAGCAGCTGAATACAAAAATACGTTGAAATACATGAACACCACAATGGAACTCGGAGCACTAAATCCCAATCGTGTAGGTGTGGAAAAGAAATTAAATAAAAACCTTTTTTTTATTTCTCGTATTAGACAACGTAGTTCTCTCCACTTTGAACAGTTACTTCTCCTAGTTATGTACTTCACAATTTTTTTCTATGTACAGCATAGAATAAAATACTTTGAAAAGATATGACATTTTTATTTCATCCTCAATATGCGATAGAGTCTCTTTTACACTAATATCGACTGCAGGAATAAAAACTGTCCGTGTCTTACATCAACGCATCGGAAAAGGAGGAGCGACGGTTTCCTTGGAATTCATTTACGCAGGTTTTCCATCGGTTCGGGGGTTTGGCAGTCCTGGAACGGCGTCTCTCCCGGGAATTAATGTACATAATATTGCTTGGATCTATACAAATGTGGCAATCGGATCTAAGTGGTGGTTGGGAAGAGGCAGCTCACACATATACAGCTCGGGGGATTTTCCATGACTTATTTACAATGAAAGTGCTTTTCTCAGCTCTAACACGATCCGGGGGGAATTGGTTTCCTTTCTACAGGTCAATTATTAGTCTCCCTGAAATTGGAAAAAAAAAAAAAAAAAGGATTCTCTAGAAAATACCACAGCTTTGCAAACACTCGAGCGCACTGGAGAACTGCGTGTGGTTCGGGATTAGCAGCTGAAAAGTGGTGGGAATTATAATTTAAAAATAAATAAAGCCAAAAGAGGTAACCCAGGTACAAAACAGCAGAGAACTGCAATATCCACAACGGTAAAAAGGCTCCAAAGCCATCTGCTAACAAAACGGGGAAGCGGTTGGATCAAAAGTCTTGAAAACATCTTTCAAGGATTTATCATCCGACTCCCCATTGGGATCGTTCTCCGGGGTCTGCGTTACCTGTCCGGGCTGCCTCACCTGCCTGGGGTCGCTGTACTGCGGCCTGATTAATCCCGACAAAGCCTGGATCGGGAGATTATGCACGGCAGGAGCAGCGCTGGAGTGTTTAGCCTGAGATTTACTGGTGCTGTTCGCTTTGTCCGAAGCAGACTCCGCTGATCCTTCCGTGGTTTTTTCCGCGTTGGAGGCGGCTTTCTGCAGGGACGCGTCTTCCGCCAGGCTGGGCTCGCTTTTACTGGAATTTTTCAAAATACTTTTTTTCTGGTTCTCTCCGTTCTCTCCCGAACTGGCTGGCGCCGTGTCCGAGGCGGAGCCGTGATCCCTGGGATCGTACAAACTGATCCCGCTCAGGATGGAGCCGGGCGTTCCCAGCCTGACGCCGCTGGAGGACAGTTTGGGCGCGTACGGAGGCAGAGCGTCGGGGTCGGGTTTCGGAGTCGCGGCTTCCGAGGGCTGGGATGAGCTGGCAGCAGCTCTGGCGAGCCGGGGGTCAAACTTGGGAGGGTGGGAATCCTTCCCGACTCCGTGGTGCGCGTCTGCGCTCGACAGTCTGTGGAGTCTGGGATCCACATTCTTTTGCAAGCGGGGATCCCCCAGTTTGCTGGAGCTACTGGCGTGGGAATCCGCAGCCGGATCCAAGTAGCCGCTCCGGCCCGCAAGGCTGTTCTTGGCCTTGGCAGCGAGCCGGGGGTCGGCCGGCATCGCGTTCGGGTGCGGATCATTCTTCAGATTCCGCAGTTTGTTCAGTCTCTGGTCGGCAATGAGCGGAGGGAGAGGTAAATTGATGGAAGAGACGGGGTCGGGCTTAGGCAAAGGGATTGGGAGCAAGTCCTCCGGGGCCCAGACGATGTGCTTGGCAAAGTTGGGTTTCATCAGGGTCACATCCATCTTGATGTGGCTGAACTGCCGGAGCTGGGAGCGGGGATCCCTTAACGTGACGCCGGGCAAAGGTTCCAAGGGAATGAGGAAAGCCCGTTCCCTCAGCTCTCTTTCCGAGTCCTCCTCGTCGTCGTCCATCCCTTTCTGCTTGACTTTGACTCCGGTGTGCGCGTGGTGCAAATCCAGCTTGGCCGCCCCGAGGGAGGAGCCGGCGTGGCCTTCGCTCACCTTGTGCATCCGCGGATCGCGGGCCAGCCGGGGGTCCAAGGATGCCGAATCGGAGGGTTTCCTGGGATTGGGCCTTGGAGAGGCCCGAAGTCTCGGGTCAGCAGTCTGAGGCCCCATACCTTTGTCCTTGGCCAGCCTGGGATCCGTAGGAATTCCCAGCATGTGCTGCTCCGTGGAATGTTGCTGCCGATTCCTAAAGTTTTCACTTTGTTTCTTTAAGGTTTTGAGGATTGATTTAACACTGCTCCCCTCTTCCTCCTCGCTACTGGAATACCAGTTGACATTGTCATCTAGAAACCAAAGAAATTCCAAAGAATTTCGATTATTCAAGCAATTAATCCCCAGAGAATCCGACACATTTACTCCACAATGGGAAACTTCTCAGTGAAATCAAGCTGAAAAGATCTGACATTAAATCATAACTCCCTGTGTTATAAAAACAGTATCTAAAATGACAAAACTCCATCTAACCAAAGAACTGACATATCAAAAAATCCTGGAGGTACTGGAAATACTCCCAAGCTCTGCAATGTTCTCTCTCCATATCCATCAATATTTGGGAAAATAACCTGCTTCCAAACAAGTCTAACAGTGCTGGTGAAAAAACCTCACATCTAAACTCTGAGTCTCGATGGGAGAATGAAAAGTAAAATGGCCCCTTAAAACCAGATAAATGAAAAACCTGCTGCCTTACTATAATCCAAATCCCAAGGTTTGGGGGAGAAATCAAGATTCAGGGTGGGAAGAAATAAGAATATTTAATTTTAAAGGATATCACAGAGGAAAAAATACTGCCCTAGAAAAAAAAGATCAAGAGGTGCAACTGAAAAACCAGGATCTAGGATGCACCTGCATTCCTGGCAGTGAGAAACCTTTCTGGTTCAATCAGGGATTTTCAGAAGTAATCATCAACCACAGAACCTTTTAAAAGTGCCAACTAGATCCATAAATTATCCACGGATCTTCTTCCTTGGAGCTAGGATGAAGCAACTAAGCCTGTACTAAAATCCCAGAAGAAGGTGGGAAGAAGAGCTGAAAATACTGAGTGGCTGCTTGTGCATCCCCAGTAACGTGAGCAGTGACGCAGATCAGTGTCAGCAGATTTATTCCCGGCTAATTCCCAGCCAAGAACCGGGTCGAGAATTCCGACAAAACCCTCCTCACCTTCGTCTTTGCTCATGGCCCTCTGGCCCTGGCTGCTGGCAGAGTCTCCATCCCGTTGGTGCTTCTGGCTGAGCCTGGCATACAGGGCCTTCTGCATGGCGGGCAGGAAATCGGGCACGTTGAGGGCCTGGTTGTGGCCCATGTGGCCACCCATGCATTCTGACTCGCTCCCGCCCGCGTGCGACTCCTGAGCCATGAGGTGAGCCTGGTGGTCTGGGAACTCTCCGTGCCATGTTCCATCTGCAGGAGAACAAAGCTCCGGTTAGCACCTATCCCTGAGAAGTTTTCATAGCTATAAGACATGGAATCATGGAATGGTTTCGGTTGGAAGGGACCTTAAAGGTCCAGTACCAACCCCCTGCCATGGGCAGGGACACCTTCCACTAGCCCAGGCTGCTCCAAGCCCCATCCAACCTGGCCTTGCACACTTCCAGGGGCAAGCCACAGCTTCCCTGGCAACCTGTGCCAATACCTCACCACCCTCACAGGCAACAATTTCTTCCCAATGTCCCACCTAAACCTAAAGCAAAACATGACTTATTCAACACAACCGGACACCCCCAGCTGAAAAAGCCGGAACACTGACGACATTCCGGGAGGTTTCTCTCCAAGCTTCTTCCAGCAGACGTGCTTACCTCCGGAATTATTGGCCGGCTGGAAGTTATGCACAGCTTGGTGGGAATAGTAGTTGTCGTAGAAGTCGGCGGGGTTCTGCATGGACTCGTATTCCCCGGGCATCTGCTGGTACTGCGGCCCCGGGGGACAGTGGTTGTCCCTGGGCATGTTCACCATGTGTCCCTGCACTCCGGGGGAATTGTAGGAGCCCCCGAGCCCCGGCGGGGTCAGGGGCGGCCCCCCCTGCTGCCCTTGCATGGGCATCCCAGTCTGGTTCTGGGGGCCCATGTACCCCGGGGGAACCCCCTGCATGGGGGGGCTCTGCGGCATTCCCGGCCCCGGGGGCCCTCCGCAGGGATGGTGGCCGGGAGAACCGGGGTGCATCGGGGGCCCGTTGTGTCCTTGGGACATGCCGGGGCCCGGCCCCGGACTCGAGCCCGGATTGTACATGTGCTGGGAATGCGGGTCGTTGCCCTGGAACGGCGGCCTTGGGGGCGACGCGCTGTTGTAGAAGGTCGGTGGCCTGGGGGAGGAGAAAATGGAAGGAATCAAATTTTGGATCTACAAAGCCTGACAGCCCACTGGCTCTCTCCTCCCCCTCCCCACTCATACTTATCTGACCTTAAATTGGATAAAAATCCCAAAGGAGCAGAATTGTTTTCCAAGAGAGTTAACTACGCCCATTCCATATATCACAGAATCACACGGAATCATTTAGGTTGGAAAAGACCCCTGAGATCATCAAATCCAACCTTTGCCTAGTCACTAGACCAGAGCACCGAGTGCCACTTCCAGTCCTTCCTTGAACACCTCCAGGGATGAGGACTCCACCAACTCCCTGGGCAGCCCCTTCCAATGCCTGACAACCCTTTCCATGAAGAAATTCCTCCTGCCCCTCCCCTGGTGGAGCTTGAGGCCATGTCCTCTTATCCTGAATGACAACAGAGTTTGGCTGGAAGCACATTTTTTTCAGCATTGGCTCATCTCCATCAGTTTTCCTCAAGGAAAAGCCAACTGCAAAAAGACTGGAGCAGGGAATGAACTGCTCCACCTGCAGATGGAGATGCCAAAGCAAGAGCCAACAGAGTGACCTTCTGGAAGGTCAAGCCTTTCCATGGAATGCATTAAATAACTCTGATATCAAGTATCTGGCAGATCCTTAACTTATCCCAGAATCCTGACAGGAACGAAGCCAATGATTAAATATTAAATGAGAAATATTCAGAGAAGTTCTACCCAGAACTCCAACACCTACTTCTTCCCAATTTTGTGGGCCAAATCCACAGTGGGCTTCACGACTATTTCAAAAAGAGACGGGATCTTCTTATAATCTCCTGAAGGATCTTGATAATTTTCCATGTCAGACTCGGAGAAGGGATATTGCTCTGGGGGGGTTGGCAGGAGCCCGACGCCCGGAGGGGGTTTGGGAAGAGGAACTATGCCCCGCTTCCGGAGCTCCTCCAGCTCCTTCTCATCTTCATTCTGGGGCTCCTCCTCGTTATTCAAAACCTGGAACAAAGCCACGGAGCAAACAGTCCATCAATTTCCCACTATTTGCAATTCAATTTAGTCTCGCACCTCCCATTTAAATATTATTATTCACATATTTAAATAAACAACCTTCCCTGGATATTGACATCCCACTCAGAGGATTTATAAACCCATTTCTGGGGGTTGTTTTGCAGGACACCCAATTCCCAGGCAGGAAGAAAACTACTCCCAGTAGCCAAGAAGGGACAATTTCCCCCCAAGTCCACTTCCTTCAGACAGGAATTCTAAAGGAAGTGGACACATGAGAGGAGTGGAAGGAGTTGTTCTAAGATTCCCAATGTTTTTAGTGTTGGATTCACCCCCCTCTTCTGTTAAGGCCTGTTGGGCAGTGACTGGAGAGAGACAGGAAAATCCTACGTGAAGCAGAGGTCAGGATTAGTGCCTGGATCCCTCACCTTATCCAGCAGCTCCTTTGTTTCCGCAGTCAGGGGAGCGTGAGAGAATTTGCACTTATCTCCTTGATAGCACTTGGCTCCTGTGTGGTAGAACTTGCAGGGGAATTCATGTAATTCAGGGAGTTAAGGATTCCTAACACTGTGGGAAGGTTAGAAAATCCAGCTGGCAGCTATCCTTCAATTCTTCACCAGGAATTCATCTTTCCAATGCCACACGTTATGAAATTTGGAAGCTAAAAACCAACTTACCTCTTACTCCCACTTAAAATTCTCCTCATAATTACATTTCTGTGGCCTTTGGATTTCATTTTAAAGTTGTGATTAAAAAGGGGAAGGAAAGCACAACAACAATAATCAGGAACAGATCAGAGGTTAAAAAATATGTAGATAACTATATCTCAACTTCAAGGAGTTTTATCTTTAAAAATGTTAAAAATCCTTAAAATTGACACAACCCCAGATTTTATACTTATTTTTTCCTCTTAACTAGTTAAGAAAAAAAAAATCATCTGTAACAAATCTACCATCTTTCGTAGAGTCTCTTAAGGAAAGAAAGAGCCACCCTTAAAAATCACTTACACCAAAATAAACAGAAATAAACAGCAATATAAACTTCCTGATGAATTCTCAAGTGTTTTCAAAGGATATTGTGCAAATAAATGCAGTTCTCTCCTTTGGTGCAGTAACCCTGGATGTAAAACTTGCAGATTTCCTTTTTCTTTTCAATCTCTGCGTCGTGATCAAATTTACACTGTTCCCCCTATAAATAAATCAAAAAACAAGGAAAAGCCATTAGTGAAATGCTGAATAATTTCATTTCACATTGAAAGAAGAACATCCTCCTCAGCTCCTCAGCTGAAACTTCTTATCTTGACTAACACTGACTTGCATTATAATCACATCCCTAAAATGAGTAATAGGAGAAAATTCCTGGATTGGATTTCAAAGGAATATACAGAGTGGTGACAGAAAACAAGCTGCTCTTACAGTCTCAGGTCTTTTCTCTGCCTCCACCTTGGAATTTGCATTAAAAAAGGCATTGAAGCCAATATTTTCCTGAATTATTTTCCATACATCCTGTTATCCATTCGGATTGTTTTGCTGGGCAGGGGGGTTGTGGATCTTTTTAGCATTTATTTTCATGAACAAAACACCAAGTGCTCTTTCAGCCCCTTTTAAAACTGAAGGTGGCAGCAAATACTCGTCTCACTGAGCCAAACTTTCAAAGGCAGCAAGAAATACAGTATTTCCAATAATTTTCGCCTTTATTTTGACCATTTGAGAAACAAACATAAAATATTCCACTTCTAAATCCTGAGGAACCAAAGAAAAGTGAGTCACTCGCTGAAGAAGCATCCAGTGGTTTAAGGGTGTGTTTTATACCAATCCCACTTTTTAGAGAGAGAAATCACTTGGAAATCAATGTTTCCAAATTAGCAAGGAACAAACAACTTAATATATTCAGGAATTGTTGCCTATTTAGGTTCCAGACTTGTGAGATTTATCATATGATAAAATATTTTTATATGGTATTTACATATGATGCATTGCCAGTGTAAGTTTATGATGCTGTCACAGATGCTTTTATTGCATATATTAATAAAAATATAATACTTACAATGGAATTAATAAATTAAGTGGAATCTAATAGCAGTTAAATTCAAAATGTGTAACAGAAGAGGATGTTTTCCCACAAGCAATTCTGCTGGATTTATCAATACATCCTCAAAACCTCAGAAATCAAAATATTGAGTTGCAACACCCAAGTTTTCTTTAAATCAGCTAAGAATGAAGTAAAAAAAAAGAATTAAAACTGTACCTTAATGCACCTGCCTTCGAGGAAATATTTACAGATCTGTTTGCCCTTGTGCTCCACCGTGTGCTGGTTGATGAACTCCTGGCTCATATTCACCCACTTCTTCACTGGTTTGCCATCCTGGAAAACCAAAAAATCCACCTTTTACCGATGCTGCACAAATATCAGTTGCCACGGGGTGCACTGGGAATAAGGGCTGTGATCCCAGGTACCTCATGGAAGCCATCAGATCCTTTATTGCCTCCTCTTCCCCTGCCACGATCTTTGCGCTTCAGCTTCTTCTGCATCCCACGCCCTCGGCCCACGTTGTAATTGTTCCCTCGCTGGGAAATGCCTGGAAAACGGGAATGACCTCTTCAGACCAGGAAATTAAGGGGAAATGGTTCTCTAGTAACATCGTGGAACAAAGTAACTCTCTTTTTGCTGTTGGAAATGTCATTTCTAACCAGCCCTGGCGGCAGGGAAGCCACCCCTGGCAGTTTCCCTCATCCAGGTCTCCATCCCAGAATGATCCAGGACACAGCTGCTGCCCCCCAGAATTCCCTTACCTTTCTGGATCCCTTTCATCCCCTGTTTCTTCACCGGCTCCTTCGGGAATGGAGGTCCCAAATCCCCACTGGAGGTCTCCTTAGCCTGTCTGTACTGTTTCAGCTGGTCAGCAAAATCCTCATCCTTTTCTTCCTCGTTGTAATTCCCAAAGTTTTCATCGCTGTAGTGACTGTAGTCATCATATTCCTTACTTTTCACATTTTTTTTATGCTGCATTTTCTGGGAACTCATGTAATTCCCTGACACGTGCCCATGCTGTAGGAAAGGGACTGAATTAGGAAGCAACTCTGTATTTCCAAATCCCACACTCTGAACTGCTCTAAAAACCCATTTTTGGGGCTGTTTTACTCCCAGATTTGCCCCAAGAAAGCATCAGTAATACAAAGAAAACCAGTTATTCAGTAAAAACCACTATTTTTGATTCCCAGACTGGGAAAAACCAGGACAAATTTTGCTCCCAGGCAGCAGAATCAACTTTAGATATTGCAAAATGGCTTTTCAAGAGCTGTTTCCTCTTAGCCCCATCTAAATCCAAAATAGGCAATAAAATATTCCTTAGTAATAAAGATTCCTTAATTCCTGTTGCCTCGTGGAGGAAAAATTGGTATCAAGCTTGTTCACACTACCTCCCTTCTGCCACAGATCCTGCTCTCCATCTGGGAATATACCCAGGGAGATGAGAACCAGACGTGCTCCCTGAAATCTGGGAGAACGGGCACCGGGATCGAGCCAAGAATTCCCGAACCACAGCGTTTCCATTGGCATTTCTGAAATGCCACCTGAGAAATCCCTTGGAAAAACCTCCTACCTGACTGAAGGACGAATCATAATCCCTGTAGGAAGAGCTGCTGCTCTTCTTGTGTGGCCTTTCCGGGCGCTCCATGTCGGAGTCGTGGCTGTAGTCGGAACTGTCATCGCTGGAAGGGGAATTATGCTGGAAAAAAAGCAGAAAGAGCTGTGGGACCACCAGGAATTTCAAGGGATCCATATGAGAACACTCTGTTTTTAAAAAAGGACCAGCAGGTTTCGTTTTCCAGGATCAAGTTTTATTAACCTCTTGCACTGAAGTTGATTAAAATCTCTATTTAGCTGCGTTTTCCCAATGAATTTTCCTGAAGAATTCACTCGTCTTGCCTCAAATCTTTTCTTTCCATAAATAATCAGCACAAAAGTGAAACTGGTAAACTGACATTTTTGCCTCTTTATCCTAAAAACTCTCAGATCCCTGTGGTTCAGCTTCCAAGCCTGCTCTCAGTGGCCAGGGCTTAACTTAAACCACTGCTTGAGATTTAAAACCAGTTTAAGTCTTAATACAAATGACACCATTTTAGTTTCCCTCTCCAGTTCCCTGGATTCTTGTCTAAACCTGGAAACCTGCAATTCCAATCAGCACCTCCAATACTTTGGTTTTTTTGTTCCTAACCTTATGCTTGTCCCGTCTTCTCCTCTTGGATTTCTTCTTTTCCTTCTCTTTTTTGCGTTTTTTCCGGGATTTCCGGTGGCCTTTCTCGGTTTTCTGCTTGTCATCCCCTTTTGTGCTGTGCTCCTTCACATCCTCATAGGCAGCATCATCTATTTCCCCGTCTTCCAGCTCTCCATCTTCTCTGTAGGAGGAAAAACAGCAGGACAATAAAATTCCACGTCACTGTCCAGCTCGTTAGCACTGGAAAAAAAATTAAAAAGGTTAAGAAGTTTGAAGCAAGCCCAAGCTGTGATTTTTGGGATAAATGGATAAGCCAGGGAGAAGACATGACTGCTGTATGACCTCCTACGGCCTGGAATTTCTTGGAATTAACAAGAAAGTGAAACTGGAGCATAAATATTCCTGAAACACCTGCAGCTATCCCAAAAAAACCCAATTCTATTTTGACAAGATCAGCTAAACTCGTTCCCTCAAGGATCAATTAAATTATCCTCCTCAAATACCCACTGAAAATGCTCTTTGGGAACAAGGTCGTTCCCATTTCCCAGTTCCCTGGGGAACTGCACTCCTAGACTTCCACTTCTGGGACACATCCAGGGCTGGAATAACTTTCCAGGTAAAACACTCTCCGTAATACAATCCTTTGGATTGCATGTCAGAGGGAAGATTACACAAGCCCTCTAATCCCTAAATTCTTTCCACAACATCCAGGCATTTTCCAAGCACTGAACTTCCAGAATGTAAAAATTAAAAAAAAAAAAAAAAAAAAGAAAAATAAGAAAAGCCACAAGCTAACTGGATAAATATGACTTGGAAAGGTAATGGTCAAAAATGTATCATTTCTTGGGAAAACTGTTATTCTTCAAGGAAAGCTTCAAGGAATTGACAGGGCAGGAATTCTCATCTGGTTTAGAGGCTTTTATTCCCATTTAAATCCCAAACTGGAGCTGTGCACTAGGAAAGCAGAGCAGAGCCTCCCCCTCTTCCACAATCTCCAGCTACTCAGAGCTCCATGGATATGTGAGAACAACCCCAGAAAGATTCCCACTGTCCCGAGGGGATTCCTAGGGCATCTCCCAAATGGATCAGAAAGGAACAGAACCCAGGGAGAATCAGGCTGGAGAAACCACTGAGCAGTCACACAAATCTCTGGGAAGGGAAAACCAAAATCCACATCTCTGGGCAGGGAAAAAAAAAATCAAACCCCACACCTCAAATGACTCCCCCAGATTCTGGTGGTTTAACTTCATTTCTAACCTTCAAACCTGGGGCTTTAACTCCCCTTCCTTCACCTCATTCCGGGTCATTTGTAAAAATAGAACTCCTTATGCCCAAAAGAGGATTTACACCTCAAGCTCCTTAAGTCCAAGATCCAAACCCAGGATGCATTTCCTCCAATATTATGGGGATCTCCAGCCTCAAACATTATTCAGGCCTCTAAATTTTAGGTTTGATTCAGGGCCTCGGAAAGGTCTGAGTTAAAAACAATTATATTTTGGTTTAAAATAGTGCAGGGGACCTTAAACCACCCGAGCGTTTGTGACACTGGTCCAGAACAATTTAAAGAAAAAAAAAAACCTCCCTCCCAATGCTCTCGACAGGTTTATAAAATGATAAAGAGCTCAATAATGAAGATAATAATTATTTTAGTAATGAAATATTATTGTATGAAAACTCCATGCCTAAAATAAGACATTAGAGGGCTAAAACTCCCCAAATTTTGAGACTAGGGTGCTGCTAGGCTAAAGAAATTAGGAATTAATAAGGAAAGTAATTCCAAATAACACAGAAATTTGACTGGGAAAATCAAATAAAACCAGGGGGGTGGCTGGGAGGAGTAAAAAAGTGAAAGTCAGTGAACTCCAAGTGATTTTCTAAAGTTCCTGGGAAAGCTGGCACTGATTTATGTGTTTATTTGCTGGAACTGAGTTTGCCTTCAACTTCCTCCTCACCCACAGAACCAAGAGATCCTCACTAAATGCTCACCTTGCAGGAAAAACCTTTCCAAGGTCCCTGTATTTGAAGGCTCAAACCCTTCATCACCAAAATAACATCACCAAGAGGAGTTAACTACAAACATTTAAAGAATTACAAACAATTTAGCTTGAGAAAACAAGGACTCCGGATTAAAACAACCTTCCAACTTGGGATATTCAAACTGTGAACAGACAGGGCTTTTTACTGTTTTCTACTGCTCAAAAAACAGTAACAAAATCAAAGACACTGGATTAAAACAGGATTAAAACAACCTTCCAACTCGGAATATTCAGAGTGTGGCCAGACAGGGTTTTTTTTTTTTTTTACTGAGCAACTTTTGAGAATTCTACAGATCAGCTCAAATCAAACCATGTATTAACAGCAATGCCCTGAATTCCTGCTGCACAAACGGGTGGAATCTGCGAGGTTCCCAGTATGGGTGTTCCCTGCAGTGAACTGGTTCTACTGGTCCTGCATTTGCACACCTGATGTGACACAAAAACCTGGAGCTGGGGCTTTTCTGCAGCGAATTAAGAACGTATTTCACCAAAAATATGATCTCCCGGGTCGTGTTTGTTGCTATTTGGGAATTAAAGCATTATAAAGCAACGCTTATAAATTACAATTAATTAGAGTATTAGGTGGCACTTAATGGTTCTATTGCACAATTTACCAGTGTCACAACTGGCTGTACTGGTGGGAATGGCTGCTTTCCAAGCTGGAAAAACTCTGCTCCCAGCAGAACCCGGAGCCACTCAGGCTTGTCCTGAAAACACGGGATATTTTCAACCCCTGAAACAGTAACAAGGCACGGCCTGACTCCTGGGAACTCCCCAGCACAGCTCTGTGTCCCAGCTTAGGCAATCCCCGTGGATCCCTGGGGTGCTTAGGGCACAGCACATGGAACACGGAGCGTGACACAACTTCCACCCTTTCCCAGGGACAAGCAGGAAGGGGAAAACAAGACCCAGCAGCTCTGGGCTCTTCCCTGAACCTGGCACTAAACCCCAGGGTGTTTTGGTCCCACTTCCCAATTCCTAACGACAAGCAGGAAGGGGGAAAACAAGAATCAGCAGCTCTGACCCTTTCCTAAATCCCAGGACTATTTTGGGACCACTTCCCAATGACAAGCAAGAAGGGGAAAACAAGAATCAGCAGCTCTGGGCTCTGCCCTGACCCTTTCACTGAATCCCAAGACTATTTTGGGAGCACTTCCCACTTTTGCACACGGAATTAGGGACTCTTTCTCCAGTGAGGAAACTGTTGCATTTGCCCATGAGCCCCCTTCCTGTTTTTTTGTCTTGGTCTGTTTTTCCCAGTGTTTTCCAGCCCTCTGAAGTACCACAGAGGGTTGTGGAGCTGTGTGGGGGCAGGCCAAACTCAGGGAATCCCAAAAACCCAGCGTTTTTAACTCCTGCAGCTGTGTCAGGAATGCTCTGAGTAGGTGTAGGCTGAAGGACGGGTAGTTCCCACCCTGGCACAGTATTTTTGGAACTAGTTAGGAAGGCCAGGGCTGCCTGGAGAAAGGATTTGAATTTCCAGCAGCTGCAGGAGAGAAAGGGAGGGAGGGAGGGAAGGAGGGAGGAACAGAGGTCCTTTCACCAGGAACAGGACTCTGGTTTCTGCGCATGGGGATTGAGAGGTGGCAAAGATAACGTCAGTCAGCCCTTAATCTGCATAAAAAAAGATCCAGTTAAATGTGTAAGGTGGAATCTGGCAAGAAAATGACGTTAAATATGGCTCTAGTGAGAGATTGTGGTATCAACAAAAACAGCCAAAAATAAAAAACCCGCCCAAGTCGGAGCACCCTTTCCTGCCTGAGACAGAGAACAATGGTGACATTCAACAGACACCCCCTGGAAAGTGCAATTTATGGAAAGAATGGAAAACAGCCCCCCTTCCCAGCCAGAGTAAATCAATGAAGATGTAAAAACGCATGCATTCCGTAAGGAAAAATTAAAACCTTGCTAAAAAAATGCACTTTTTAATGCAGTGACACCCCCCCTCCCCTCCTTGCATTCCCCCCACCACCACCCCGGTCCAGCCTGAAGGTGACCTGCCCCCCCAAAAACATCGTTAACCCCCTCAGGCACATTAACAGAGCATCATCATCAGCATCAGCATCATCATCATTACCAGCATCACCCCACTAAGTACCACCATTATGAGAAGCGGAGAGAGAGAAGAATGTTACTCGACCTTTCGTCCCCTGCATGTTGCCTGTCAGAGTCGGGCATGTTTGGGTCAAGAACTGGGTTTGGGGGTTTGGAGAACAGGCTTTCAAAGGCCATTGTGCCTGGCTGTGGTGTGGTGAGGAGGAGGAGGAGGAGGGAGGTGGAGGAAGGCAGGGCCCCGCCGCTGCCCGCGGTGCGGAGCGGCGGGAGGAGGCGGCGGCGGCGGCGGCGGCTCGAGCGGCAGCCCCGGGGCACAGGAGAGCGGGAGGACACACACACGGGGGGAGGGAGGTGCTGCTGGCCGGAGATGGCGGCCCTAATTCTTCCTTACAAACATGGCGCCCGCGCGAGGCACTCGCACAAAATGGCGGCGGCGGCTGAGAAGGGAGGAGGAGGAGGAGGAGGTGGTGGTGGTGGTGAAGGAGGACGAACGGCGGCGGCAGCAGCAGCAGCAGCGGCGGCGGCAGCAGCAGCAGCGGCCCCCCCCGGGGCTTTGCCCGCACACGCTCGCTTAAGCGCCCGCGGCCCGCACGCGCCGCCGCCGCCGCCGCCACAGCGTCTTCTGCGCCCGCCGGGGCCGCGATGGCGCCGCGCTCCCTTCACGCCGCCGCCGCCGCCGCCGCCGCCCCGCCGCGCTCCTCCCCCGCCCCCTCCTCCTCCGCCCCGCCCCGGCCCGCCCCCCGCGCGCCGCCATTGGCCGCCGCCGCGCCGCTTCGCCCGCCCATTGGTGCGCCCGCGCGCCCGTCAACCCCCGGAGAGGCGTCACGCGCGGGCCACGCCCCCGTCCCCTCCGCGGCCGCCGCCGTGCGCGCGCGAAGGGGGCGGGGCCTCGCGGCGCGCGGCGTCACGTGCCCCGCTCCGCGTGTGTCCCCCCTCTCCCTCCGCCCGTCACGTGACGGCGGCGCCATCCGGGACGCGTTTTCCCCACTGGAATTTGGGGGGGGGGCGGGAGGGGAGAAGAAGAAAGAAAAAGGAGGGGAAAAGGAGAGGAAAAGGGAGGCGGCTTCCGGCCGGCGACAACCGGGACGAGGAGCGGCGACGGGACCCCCCCGCCGCCGCCGCTGCTGCGTCATGGCCGCCCCCCCACCCTACACGCGCTGAGGGCAGCGCCCCCTGGCGGCGGTGCGTGAGGGGGGGACCCGGCCCCGCGGGGCTCATTAGTGACATTAATAATAATTACATAAAACTTGCGTCCCCGGGGCGGCCGTGACGCCGCCACCGAGATAAAAAGTGTTTTCCCTTGGAATCGCGGTTCGGCGATGTCAGGGCGTGACAAAGAAGCGGTTAAAACAATAAATACACGTGCGAAGGGAAGACGCGGCCGTCGGAGCCGGCGGGATGTTTCTTAATTAAAAACGTCCCCCAAAAAGTTACTTTCTTTTTTTTTTCCCTTTTCCGGTCTGCCTCCCCGCCTCGCGGGGCTTTTCGGGACGTGGGACTCGGTTTTTTTCCAGCGTCAGCAATCCAAGGGAAAAACACGATTTATGAAAGAAAAAAAAAAAAAAGAGGGAACAGCCACATGTATTCCCATGGGTTCCCATTGGGAAGAGCCTCAGATCCATGAGGGGAGAACCACCTCCATGTGGCCAAGCTCGACTGAGGGTCCAAATCGTCATGGAGATGAAGCAAATCCAAGGAAACAACTGGAAAACGGCAATTCCAGCAGTGCTGGGACTGATACAGGGCTCTGGGGAGGTGCTGGTGGCTGGGGAGCTAGTCATCAGGGCTAATTAGTCCTAATTAGCCCCATCACGGAGACCAATTAACTCCATGGTGCCCACAGGGCTCAGTACCATCTCCCCAGGCTATAGGGAAGGAAAAAAAATGGGATTTCAAATCCGGAATAAAAGGAAAAAATCCTTAAATATTGGTTAAATATTCTGATTTTTAACATGTAGTTGAAGGTAAGTTCCTGTACGTGTTTAATAATTATCATTCTTTTAATTGTAGCTCAGACTGAGGGTGAGGAGAAAATCAGGGATTCTCCAGGCTTGGGATGCTCTGCTGGGAAAGGTCCATGAGGAATGGATTTTGGGAAGTGGAGGGTGATGAGGAGAAAATGGGATGGGATGTTGTAGTTGCCTCATCACCCACCCTCCCCCGAGCTTGGGGCTTGTCCCTCCTCATGGAGTAAGGAGGAGAGAGAATGCTTTCCCAACAGTCTTCCAAATTCCAAGAAATTCCAAGATTTCTCTCCTGAACATTCTCCCCCTGGGCCATTTGGGGTGAGAAATGGTAATTTTTGAGGCAGCCTCTGGAGCTAGCTGTGCCCACCAAAGGGGAGCCCAAGAATTCCAGCTGTTTTTTTGGCTCCAAAATATTATTATCCCAAAGAAAAGGTGCATTTCAGGGCCGGAAGAGCCTCTCTCTGCACCTTCCAGCCTCGGGAAGTCTGAAAGGTGCTGGAGCAGCCACTCTGGGAAGGGAAAAAAATCTCCTCGAGTCAGCTGGAATGGCAGCCAGAGGTTTGCAGCCCGGAGAGCTGACCTTAAACTTTTCCAGGGCTGGAAAGGGAGAAACCAGCTCACCCTGGCCTCGGGAATTAGGAAAATGTTGTCAGCCTGGAATTGCGCCGCAAGGAAAAGCCTCTGGAGCGCGGTCCAGGCGCCCGTCTCCAGCTGTGTTATCCGGTGAAAGCAGCACATGGAAACTATTCTGCCCCGTCAGGAGCTTGTCCTCTCCCAGATTCCTGGTTCTTGGCTCCCAGATTCTGTTATCATCCCAAAATACGGTCATGGCCTGCTGCAGGAGCACATCCAGCCAGGCTGGGAACTGCCAGGGAATGGGAGAAGGAGGAAAAGGAGAAGAAGGAGAAGGAGAAGGAGAAGAGCAGTCGTGCTCCCAGAAAAGCCTTTTTTATTATTATTATTATTTTGGGGCTTTTTAAGGAAGTTTTCCCTTCCCTCCCCTCGCACAACCCTGGGATGCATTTCCCTGCCCGACTCCACATCCATCCGGAGCTCCCGCCAAGCCAAACATCCTCCATCCGCCGGCAGCAGCCCTGAATGTCCCTCCTTGTTCTGCCTGGAGAGATCCAACCCGTCCCAAGCTCCCATGGAAAGGCTGTACCCCCAAAAAAATCCGGGAGCTCGATCCCCCAAAGGATGCAGAGATCCATCTCCCCCTCAGGAGACAGAGCCATCTTGGGAAATCTCCCTCTGTGGGGACAGGACTGGGAAGGGTTTTGGTGGGTGCAGCTCAGCAGGATGCTCAGGGGTGAGGATTCCTAGGGATGAGGGTGTTCCAGGGTGAGGATTCCAGGGGGAAAAAGGATGCTCAGGGATGAGGATTCCCGGGGGAAAGGACGCTCAGGGTGAAGTTTCCTTGGGGGGAAGGATGCTCAGGGATGGGGATGCTCAGGATGAGGATGCTCCAGGGGTAATGAGCCACCTCCCAGGCAATGTAAGGCAGGAAAGTAAAACTCTGGATAACAGATTCTTGCCCCACCAGACCCAGAGCTCTCCTGGATGGCTCCAGATGAGCATTCCCACCATCCACACATCCATTGGGTGCTTCACTCTGGTGCCATCCTTTATATCATCCTTTAATTGTGCTAAATCCAGCGGAACATGGGAACATGCAGAATGTCAGGAGAACATGCACAAGCAGGGGGGTGAATCCCCCCGGGAAGAGCCGAATCCCAGCTCTTCCCAGCGCTCCTACACCAGGATGGAAGCTGTGGCTGGTGGAGCAGGGAATATTCCCACCTCCACACGCAGCTTGGAGGTCACGGCGAGGGAGATCCATAGGGGATTCCCATTGGGGAGGTTTAAGGAGCAGGGATAGCGCTGGGATTCCTCCTTTGCCCAGCTTGCCAAGGAGGGCACCAGGAGCCAGCCAGGTGGATGTTCATGGAGTTTTCCAGCCCTGATCAATCCCAGGGGATAAAGGCAATGGACCTCAATCCCCAGCAGGCTCCAGGGAGATTCTAAGCATCCAGAGGGAAGCAGAGGCATGTTTTTAGGGAGCTGGTGTCCAAGCAATCCCAGGCCAGCAGGGAGGAGAGCGGGAAAGGCCAGGAGCCTCCCTCCTCCCACAATGCTCTGCTTCACTGCCTTCCTAAAGGAAAAAGCAGGAATCCTTAGGAAATCAGGTGGCTGTAGGACATCATCCCTCCGGAGCTGGGGGTGAGGATGGAGCCCCACTTCCCGGTTCTTTTCCACCTCGTTTGGGTTTTCCTCCTGCACACAGGCAGGTGTCAATCCACCTGGGAAGCACCTCAGGACAGGACGCTGAGCGGGGCCCGGGAGCCGCCAGCGCCGCCACCGCCTCCCCTAAAACTCATAGGCGGAGACAAAGAGGGTGATTTTGGACAAGTGCTTGGCCTGGAAGACCCGGTCCAGGTACTCGGACATGTCCACGTCCACCTGGACGGTCTGGGGGCCCTGCAGGCTCTGCACCAGGATGAGCTCCCCGGTGTGCCGGTCCGAGCGCTGCACCACGAAGTGCCCGCGGCTGTTCCCGCCCGCGATCCCGAAGCGGAGGCTGTCGGGGCCCGGCCGGCCGGGAGCCGCCGCCGTGGCCATGCGGAACAGCGGCGTGGGAGCCACGAGCCGGGAGGGCAGCGGCAGGTAGTGGAAGGAGATGGTTTTGGGAGCGTGGTGGCACGACCGGCTCTCCATCGGGCAGGGGTTGCGCTCGCACTGGCTGCGGAGGGGAAAAGCGAGGGAGGAGGTTTCTGGGGACGCGGGATCCCCGTGCCCCACACCTGCCTCGGTGTTGCATCCGTAGGGATGCCATGCCGTGGGTTTTGTGCCAAACCACACTTACAAGGGGGAGGTTTTGACGTAGGAGACGTTCCCGACGGCCGGGGGGCACCGGGGGGTGACGCACTGGAATCCCCCCCCAGTGTTGATGCAGCTGCTCCCGCCCGTGCAGTTATCCTGGGAGAGGGAACACTCATCGATGTCTGGAAAACAGGGGCGGGCGGCAGGTCAGGACCCTGGGAGACTCCAACCAACCTCGCTTTTAGGTGCATTCCGGTGGAAAATAGGCAAAGCCACCTTGAAATGGGTCAAATAGGACTCAGAAAATATGGGAGTATGGCTGGGAGCATCCCAAAATCCCGTCTCCTCTCCCCAGGCTCTGCCCAGGGCCAGCAAGGGTTAATGGCAGCAGGAGGGCAGCTGCTTTTCCAAACTTTCTGCTCAGTTGTTTGGACACACCATCCCCTTTTATTTACTAAACACCCGTGGGACACCTGGAGGAACTGGAATGCAAAGGGTTTGCTGGGAGCAATAACAAGACACCACAGAACCCGTGGAAATCAGGGAGAAAAGGGGAAATCGGGATTTTCTCACCCTGAACTGCAGCAATCAACACATTCCAGCAGAAAATTTCCCTGTTTTTTGGGAGGAGCCTCTCAGCAGTGCTGGCCTCCCACCGTTCCCACCCACCTCCCAACTTCCCTGGGACTGGGGGAGAGGACACTGCCCTCCGAGCTGGTGCCCTGCTGTGGAATTCTGGGGTTCTAATATTATTTTTGGTTCTTGCCAGGGATTCCCTGTTTTGGAGGCATCCCCATTTTCAGGGAGGTGCAGCCCCAAAGCATCACTCCATCATCTTCCCCCCCGCTCTGGGAGGGGAAGGAGAAAGGGGAGAAGGGAGAGAGAAGAAGGAAAAGGGAAAGGAGAGAGAGGAGCTTCCAGAAAAGCATTTTCTTTTAATTTTGGGGGCTCTTTGAAGCCCTCAGGTGGAGATTTCCCTTCCCTCCCTCCCCCAGCACAACCCCGGGATGTGTTTCCCTGCCCAGCTCCCCATCCAGCCGGAGCTCCCGCCAAGCCAAACATCCTCCTTCCGCCTCCATCCCCAAAAATGTCGCTCCATCCTCACCCTCCCCTCTGTGCCAACCCCCTCGGATTTCTGCCCATGGAAATGGAGAGAAAAGAGGGAGGGGGAAATGAAAAATCCCTTGGGAACACGTGGATTCCAGCCCCCCCCCTCACCTTCGCAGCTCCTGCCGTCTCCCAGGAGGACGTATCCGGAGGGGCAGGAGCAGCGGAAGGAGCCGGGAAGGTTGACACAGGAATGGACACAGAGCCGGGGACCCCCGTCCCGCTGGAACACCTCGCACTCATTGAGGTCTGCGGAGAACAGGGATTCAGCCAGGATCCCACAGCATCCTGCTGGGAAAACTCGGGAAGAGTGGGCGGCGAGGCAGGTTGGGAACTGGGCAGTGGCAGATCCCAGGGGATTGGGATCAGCAGCACAGAGTCCCCCAAGGGTTGATACTGAGCCCAGTTTTAACTCATCCATCCAGGACTTGGATGAAGGGGTTGGAGCCTCCTCAGCGAGGTCCCTGCCAACGCAAAACTGGGAATAGTGGCTGATCTCCCGGGGTGCTGTGCAGCCCTTTGGAAGGACATGGGCAGGCTGGAGAGGAACTGTCTGGAATTCCATAGCGGCAAATGCAGGTCCTGCACCTGGGGAGGAACAACCCCAGGCACCAGCACAGGCTGGGAAGCAGCTCCATGGAGAAGGACCAAGCTGTCCGTGCCCAGCAGTGTGCCCTGGGAGCCAGGAAGGCCAATGGATGCACTGGGATGCACCGGGAAGAGCATTGGCGGCAGGTCAGGGAGAGGATCCTTCCCCTCTGCTCAGCCCTCTGAGGCACATCTGCAGTGCCTGGTCCAGGTCTGGGCTCCTCAGGACAAGGACATGGAGCTCCTGGAGCAGGTCTAGAGGACAGGGTGAAAGGACTGGAGCATCTCCTACAAGAGATGAGGGAGCTGGGGCTGTTCAGCCTCAGGAAGAAGCTGAGAGGGGACCTTATCCATCTTTATCATTATCCAGAGGGAAGTGTCAGAGGCTGGAGCAGGGGGGCCCAGCAACAGGACAAGAGGAAATGGGCAGGAACTGATGCCCAGGAAGCTCCACCTGAACACTGGAGCACAATGCCCAGGGAGGGCACGGAGGCTCCCTCCCTGGAGATATTCCAGAGCCACCTGGACACAATCCTGTGCCACATGCTCACCCGCTGTGGTCCTTCCAACCCGCCCCATGCCGTGACTCCGCGAGGGCCCCGCATCCCCCGCCCGTGTCCCGGTTCCCAGCGTGGCTCACCCTGGCAGAGCCCGTTGGCGGCCGTTCCATTCATGTGGAAGCCGGGATCGCAGCTGCACTGCTGGGCCTGGGCCACCTGGGCACAGCGGGGCTGGCGGCTGAACGCAGGATCGTCCGTCACGCTCCAGGCGGGAGGAGCTGGGGGGGCACGCCGGGGTGAGGAAGGGGCACGGAGCACCCCCAGCTCACGCCCCCGGGGAAGGGTCACCCACCCGTCTGTGCCCGGTGCTGGCAGGTGGCCCCAGTCCACTGCTGGGGGCAGAGGCACCTGAACTGGTTGAGCCCCTCCAGGCACGTCCCGCCGTTCTGGCAGGGGCTGCTCGAGCACTCGCTGATCTCTGGGGGAAAAGCAGCCGCGTTCCACGTTACCTTCCTTTGGGAATGCTTCGGACCCCGCAGCGCCCCGATGCTTTTTCCCCCCTCATCTCTGCTGCTGAGCCGCTGGGGAGGCTCCACCTGTAATTCCCAGTTTTCCTTGAGCAGCATCCCCAGGGATGTTAGGAGGTAGCCGTGATCCCTCCCCGTTTGGTGAGCCCCCAAAGCTCCCCATACTCAAATAAGGCCACGGTACATCCTGCTCTTCCAAGCGCCGTTGCCAGGCAGGGAAGGAGTGGTACCTTCACAGCGGGGCTCCTGCCCGCTCCAGGTGCCGTTGGCCTGGCACATCCGTGTGCTGGAGCCCAGGAGCTGGAAACCCGGGTCGCAGGTGAAGTGAACCTCGTGCTCCACCAAGTACTTGGTGCCGAACTTCCTCCCATCCGTGGGGGCTTGGAGGGCAGGACAGGAGACTGTGAGACCACAGGGAGAGGGGTCAGCTTGGAGGGGGCCTTATCCTTCCCATCCCCAACTCTCCTGAGCTCACCCAGTCCCTCCAAGCCTCCCTTTACACATTATTTTCCTGGAATATTGTCCCGCTGACAACATCCAGCCCCGCAAGGAGCGCCTGGCAGGGATGTTGGGGCTGGCAGGGAATTGGTGACATTTTTGCAACCCCCCTCACACTCCCAGCACCAAACTGTGGCCTTTTTGCTGGAGACACCAGTTTTCCAGCCCGTTCCTGTGCTTTGCCAGGAGCTCTTGGCTTTGCCAGTGAGGGCTTCTCACCCTTTTCACCCTCCCCAGGCCGGAGAAGCTCTCCAATTTACAGCAGGAATTGCCAACCTGAATCCCAGTGACTCCACGCCCAGACTTCCACCTGTCCCGGCCCTGAGCATCCCGAGCTGCCGGTGCTCCGAGGCCGTGGGAGGCCGGGAAGGACTCACCGGTGGGTGCCTCTGGAGCTGCCTTGGCCAGGGTGGAGTGTAGGGAGCTGAGCCGGCTCCTCATGACACGGAGCCCCTCGGAAAAACGCGTCTCCTGCCCCTTCAGCAGCTGCTGCATCTGCCGGATGGCGGCCAGGAGCTGCTGCCTGCTGAGGCAGCTCTGCGGGAACAGGGATGGGGACGGGGATGGGGATCCTGCTCCGGTGCCGGTGCTGCCGCGCCACCCGGGATCCAACTACTGATTTTGTATTTCCCCCCCCCCCCATTTACGCAGATTCAGGAGTTTTTTCCACCTGGGCAAGAAGTCCTCAGCCCAGGCTTCCTCCCTGGAATGTACCCGGGTGACGCCGCGCTCCGGGCAGAGCTGGGATGGCTTTGTCAGCCCTGGGAGAGATGCTATAACTCATGTTTCGTCCTGCTGGAGCTCCAGAGCCCCGTCCCGCTGCCACATGACAAAACAAGAGGAAAACAGCTGTCTTGTGAGCTCTGCCGGGGCCAGGAACGCTGGTGGGACTCCTGCCTGCAAACCGATCGCTCCCTCGGGACTGACTCATGCCGGAGACGGGCACCGTTATTATGGGATTCCTGTGGAATTGACTTAAAACCGAGGCAAAAAAAAAGCAAAGCCAGAGCTCAGAGATCCAAGGCAGCACAGTGGGGAGACAGCACAGAGGGGCTGTGGAGCTTTGCGAAAGTAAGTTGAGCCGGTGGGCTCTGACCCACCTGGCTCAAGGGATTCCTTCCCCTTCTTTCATAACCACACCGAAACGATTCCCGCTTCCAAAACGGGAGGAGAAACACGCCAGCGCCAGCAAAGAACGCACTGGGTGTCCTCTGGTTCCCTGGGAGCAGTTTCGGGGGTCCCGGGCTGCCGGTGGGGATGAGCCGGACTGTGCCGGCAGCTCTGGGATACCCCGGTCCCAGAGGAAGGGAGGTAAAAGCAAATAGATGCTGGCGCGTCGCTGGCTTTAATAAACAGCTCTTTGTTAGGGCTGGGTTTAACTCCGGCAGCCAGCGCGAGCTCCGGCGGGATGCTGAGCCATCGCGAAGCCGTAAAGTCCCCGCCAAAAGCCCCAAACGGGCATTCTTTGCTGCCGGTGTGCTCGGGGGCAGCTTCAGGTGTGGGGTAAGAGGGAGAGGGGGGAAAAATAGCCCGAAGGAAGCCGGGCGCGCTTTAAGCGCGGTTTCAGCGCGGTTTGGGACTTCGCCCACCTGTTTGCCGGGGCCCGGGGCAGGAGCGGGGATTGCACCGCAGGACTGTCGGGGCGCTCCGGCTCCGGGGAGGGGGCGGGAAGGGGAGAGGAGCCCCGTGCCCCCCCATAAAGCCCCTCCCGGGGTCCCGCTCCCCGCTCACCTGGGCGGCCGGCGCGGCCGGGAGCGGCAGCAGCAGCGGCAGCAGCAGCAGCAGCAGCGGCGGGAGGCGGCCCCGCGGCCCCGGCACCCCCGGCATGGTGCGGTGCGGCCCCGCCGCTCTCCGGGACCGGCTCCCCGCGCTCTCCCCGCCCCGCCCGCGCCGCCCCCGCGCTGCCCCGTGCAGGGGACGCGGCGCTTCCCCGCCCCGGCGCCGGCACGGCCCCGCACATCCATCCCATGGAACACCGGCACGGCCCCCCGCATCCCATAGGACACCGGCACGGCCCCGCACATCCATCCCATGGGACACCGGCACGGCCCCCCGCATCCCATAGGACACCGGCACGGCCCCGCACATCCATCCCATGGGACACCGGCACGGCCCCCACATCCCATAGGACACCGGCACGGCCCCGCACATCCATCCCATGGGACACCGGCACGGCCCCCACATCCCATAGGACACCGGCACGGCCCCGCACATCCATCCCATGGGACACCGGCACGGCCCCCCGCATCCCATAGGACACCGGCACGGCCCCGCACATCCATCCCATGGGACACCGGCCGGCTCCGGGCATCCATCCCCCGGGACACCGGCCCGTCCCCACAGGGGTTGGGCTTTTTCCCCCAGAAAACCTGTTTCTGCCGCTGCCGTGTGGAGCGAGCACCGTGCGGGAGAGCCCCCGAAGGTCCCCCCGCTCCGCCTGGGCCAGGACCACCTGCCCCGGCTCGGGACCCCCTTTCCCAGCTCTGCACTTTCTCCCAGCCCGGTACTCCCTTCTCCAGCCCCTTTCCCACCCCCTGCGCCCCCTGGAGAGGCGGGAGGTGCTGCACAGAGCGCAGAGTCCGGCTCCAGTCGCTGCCTGAAGGGAAGCAGCAGAAATCCCCCCAAAAACAGAGAATGGGCAGCAGGGAAGGGCCAGGCCACGGCTGGGGGGCTCCAGCCCTCCCGGGACCCCCCTCACAGACTCCTGTTTCCCCGTTGTTGCGACAGGACTGACGGTTCCTCAGCACGTGGATGGATGGGAACCTGCTCTCTGGGAGAAGGGAATGCGGGAGCACACACTGTTCCTGTTGGGGTTCCTGCTGCCATTTTCCATGATTTCTTGCAGCATGAAGTCCCCCAGCAGGTTCTATAGCAAGAGCCTAGACCACCCCAGAATCCTCAACACACGGTGGAAAAGTGGGAAAACACCAGGCCCTGCAAGGCTCGCTGCCCCCACAGTGTGGGGAGCTCCAGGCCCTCGGCACTGCTCGCCCCACTCCGCTCTGGTCCTTCTGGGAAAGAAAAACAATTACAGAAAAATAATTATGGCGTCAATTCCAAACCCTCAGTACTTCAGCCCAAGGAAGGAGCTCCCGGGAAGGGCCAGACTCCGCCAGGAAAACCGTGCAGGAGATAACAAGTAAAAGAGACGACCATTTATTAAAATACACCCTCTGTGTCCTTGTCCTGGTGCCCGCTCACACCTTTCCCGGCGGCACTTCCGAGTCCTCCCCGCGGCTCTCGGCCCGCGCCGGCTCCGGTGCCGGCAGAGTGCTGGCCTGGCTCCAGCGGCTCCCTGGCTCCGAGCTGGCCCCGGGCAGCAGCGGGACGTAGGGATCCTCGGCCAGGCCGCCCAGCTGCTCCTCCACCACGTACCTCGTCCCCCAGGGCTCGCCGGGATGCACATCCACGGCCACCAGCGCCGCCTCCGCGCCGGGAGAGCCGGGCTCCGACACGTCCCCGGCGTCCAAGTCTGAGTCCACCTGCGGGAAGCCCGAATCCTGTGTGGAGTCTGGGCTCTGCTCGGGCAAGCTGGTGTTGATGTAGATGGCCTCCCCGGAGCCCTTGGAGCTGGGCAGGTTCTCCAGCAGCTTCTCCAGGTGGACCTTGAGCTGGGAGAAGGTGGGGCGGGTGGCAGGGTCGGCTCTCCAGCACGCAGACATGACTTCATACCTGGAAATGGGAGAGGAGCATGGTTATCTCAGAGGATCCCAGAACCCCAGAATCCCAGACTGGTTTGGGCTGGAAGGGACTTTAAAGCCCATCCAGTTCCACCCCCTGCCATGGGCAGGGACACCTTCCCCTAACCCAGGTTGCTCCAAGCCCTGTCCAACCTAGCCTTGAACACTCTCCCAATGATGGGGCAGTTACAGCTTCTCTGGCAGCCTGTATTTCTCTGGATTAAGGGAGATAGGGGGTTAATTCCCAGCTTCCCTCCAAACTGGGCAAGCCTTGAGCTTTCCATGAAAACAAAGCAAAAACAACTCTCTCTGCTCGGTCTGTTTCCAAAGGGCAGGGACTGATCAGCCCAAGCTGCTGTCAGAAGTGTTACAAGTCTCTCCCAGTGCAGCCCTGGGATCTGTTCCCTGGGAACATCCCAGTTCTGCGTCAGGGATGCCCAGTCCCTCTCTTGGCAGGTGCCTGCTCCCAGGCTGGATGTCAGGGAGCACTGGGAGTTCCCAGCAGGTCCCAGCTGGGCACACACTGCCTCCCCACCCTCGGGCAGGCGGGATCTAAAAAGGTTCCTTCGCCGCTTCCTTCAGGAACAGGCGCTGGAAGAGGAGCCTTTTAGGAAACGTTGCACAACTCAGTTTATCCGGTTTGGATTCTTAGCCACAGGGAGATTAAACATTTTCAGCTCTAGTGGCACCAGAGAAAACTCAGGAAGGAAACTCAGCAGAAAAGCCTTTGCTGAGCTGCTCAGAAATCCAGGTTCGAGGTTTCCAGATTTGTGGATTTGAGGCCATGAAGGGCCCTAGAGGGGAGTTTTGTGGGGCACAGAGGAGCATCACCAGCCAGGAAGGACCTCCTGGCTAAAACTGTCTTAACCAAAAAAATAAAGAAATAAAGCACTAAAAAAATCCTATCCCTGACTGCTCCTGGTGACTTCAGCTCGTCTGTGCAAAAAACCATCACTTCTCCCTGGGGGACACCTGTTGGGATTATTGCCTGGAGTTCAGCTGCTTTTTCCCTCCCTGGGTGACACAGGGAGGGTGACACAGGATGTGGTTTCCCTTAGGCACATCAAAACTTGGGAGACCTATCGCATCTGTGAGCTCATTCCCAGGATACTTTTCATCCAGAACGTGGCGGAGCCCAGGAGCGGGGTTCCAGTACTCACAGCTCATCCGAGCAATCCTCGGGCTTCTTGAGGCGCTGCCCGTGGAAGAGGAACTCGTAGATCTCGTGGTTCTGCACCCCCGGGTAGGGCGTCATCCCGCGTGTCGCGATCTCCCACATCGTGACGCCAAAGGCCCACTGCGGGGACAAAGGGAAAGGACAGCGCTGAAAGGACACTCCAGGGGGAATGAATGACCCTTTTCATGGGCAAAGGTCGCTGCCCGGCGTGCCAGGCACAACGGGCAGAGCTGTCACCCTCCCAAAAAACGGGAATAACAAGCGCTGGCGTGGCAGGGGCGAGCGGCCACGGGGACAAACCCACGGCAGGAGGCCGGGCCGGCAGGGAAAGGTCACCCACAGCCTCCTGCCCCTCTGGCACTTCCAGGGAACGACAACAACTGGAGCACAGGGTTTGGTTCCCAGTTTTTCCTCCACCTACCACGTCGCTCTTGGTGGTGTAGACACGGTCGGCCAGGGACTCGATGGCGATCCACTTCACCGGCATCTTGGCTATCCGGCCCTGCCGGTAGTAATCCCCGCTGTAGATCTTCTTGGACAAGCCAAAGTCTGCCACGCACACCGTCATGTCATCCCGCAACCTGCCAGGGGAAAGCAGGGAAAGCTCCAGCCCGGAGCACAAACCCGGGGCTGAGCTCTGCCTCCCGAGAGCGAGGGAGGTTGTAGGGAAGGGAGCCGAGCCGGGCCGTAAATCCCCAGGATTTCCTGCCGGTGTTCCCAGGAAAACAAACTCACATGCAGTTCCGAGCCGCCAGGTCCCTGTGCAGGAAGTTCCTGCTGCTCAGATACTCCATCCCCAGGGCGATGTCCACCATGAACTTCACCAGCGTCTGCAGGGGCACGAACTGGGAAGGGAAGGTGGGTTTTAGGCAGCGTGAGGCCTTTGGGAAGCACGTGGGGGCTGATCCAAAAGGCTTCCTCGTCCAGGGCTGCCAGCTGACATTCCAGACGTTCATCCCTCAGACTGGGCCATTCCTTGAACCACAAGCCTACAGGAGCTGTGGACGGGGATTCCTTTCCCACCCTGATCCCACTGCTGCGGGTGCTCCCTACCTGGGGGGCCATCTCCAGCCGGGAGCGGAGCAGGAAGCTGTGCAGGTCCCCATATTTCATGAATGGCAGGATCACCATTGGCTTGGGGATCTGCTGGGAGCTCAGCTCGATGCACACTCCTGGGAAAAACACAGACAGCTTGGAAAAGGCAACCACAGTCCCCCACGGATCCGTGCAGGATCCAGGCCAGGCTCCCCAGCCCAAATCCCAGCTGGAGGGCAGGGAGTGACATTCCATACCCAGGAGCTTGATGACATTGGGATGGTCAAAGTCCTTCATGCACGCTGCTTCGCTGAGGAACTCCTCTATCTCCCTCTGGGAAAAGTTATCCACTGGGAAGCAGAGAAAAAGAAGGAGGTTTAACACCGAGCACTGCTGCTGCCACCTCCCCTCACAGCACAGCTCCTGCATGGGAAAGGGGTCACCGGGATGGCTCCACCATCCTTGGATGTCTGATAGGAGTGTCCCTTCCTGATGGCACCAGGAGCTGTGGCAGAGGGGCCACTAATTGGTGCCAGGATGCTGTTCCTGAGAGAGGTAGTGGGAATGCCAGCATCCAGTGGGATAAACAAAGTCCTGGGAGGACTGGGAATTACTTACACTTCATGGTCTTCACAGCCACCTTCTGTGGGACACCTTCGGGCTGGCTGAGGCGTCCCTCCATCACTGATCCGAACTCCCCTGTGCCACGGGAAAGAAGAAATCCCTTT